GGAAGGATGGCTTGGATGAAATGTTATGTTATGTTTATGTAATGCCCTGTTTTTTATATAAAATTTTAACAGGTTGTTTGGTATCACTCCAGTTATTCAGACCAACTGCTCAAGTACTTGGAAACTCATAACCAATCAAAATTTGAAATGGTACCACCATACCAACCCCATCTTACTGCTACTCTTGTACTATACCCTAGCAACTCTCATTCGACTTTGGCTAAATGAACCTATTGTACAGGTGAAATAATTATCTTTATTATCTTTTTTTTTTTAATCCTTCTGACAAAAGCATACAGATTGCTTTTGACATTTGTGCATAAAAAGGGAATACCTTTGCATTATAAATGAACCTCTTCTCCTCCCTCCTCCAAAGTATTATTAATATCTAACATTCATCTGTGGTATTCCACAATATAGTTTTTCTGCCTGGAAGTTTTCACGCATTTCCTGTCTCAAAAGATCAAGAAACTACACTGCCAGCACTGAGCAATTGCAATCTGAGAGAACTCCAGGAGCCACAAAAAAGGGTCAAGGGTTTGTCTACCCCTGACATAAGATGCTAAATTAAAGCTCTGTAGTACTTAGTGATATGTTTAATGATGGATTCCCATCATATACATGGTTTTCCTTGACTGAAATTCATGAAAATAGTTTCAGGAATGCCACAGAAATATGCATTACAATATTTTATTGCAAGTATGTTGGTTGGCACAAGTTTCTTTCCAAGTATTTTGGAGGAGATGAATAAACAAACATCTTCCTGATTGTGTTAGTGAATTTAGAAGCTGGAATAATGTTTTTACCTGTTGCTAGGTGCACAAACATTGTACATAGTTCTACATAAAATAATTCCATGTATTTGTACAAACTTATTTAAAATGGTATGCAGTCTAACATTTATATATCTTGAGAAAACAAACAGCATATTTTATTGGACATGTCCTGGGATAGCATGAAATCATTTAGCTGACATGGTAGAAGATGAGTAAGAGAAATGCCTCTTACTTTACTATGGAAACATTCCCAACTGCTTAAGATGATATGTAATCATACAACTAGGCAGGAAGACCTGTGAAATATGGATCCTGTCTTGCAAGATGTGGTTACCATTGCCCACTGATGTTTGTCCATTATTTGAACTTGTTCTTGGAGAAAATATTGCACTCAGTTATGTTAATGCTTAATTTGTGAAGACTAGAGTGAAAAACAATTTGAGCTGCATATAAACTATGTAGATACTGCCTAGATTTTTCAGATGACTTTTTTATTTGAAAAGTTAATCTTTTTAGAGAGATTAACTTTTATTCTCAAAATCATTCCAGAGTTAATTTTTCTTTTTTCCTTTTCTTTTTTGTTTTCCTATTTAACAGATGCCTGATGATGACAAATCAGATATAAATAAGGAAGAAGAAACAGAGTGCAGCCCAATTCAAATAACTGCAGAAAGAAGACGCAGCTTGTGGTATAAAAGTCGCTACACAACCGATGAAAGAAAAGTAAAGTCTAAGGGAATCAATTCATCTGTTTTGTACTCCTTAACCCTTTTAGCAAGGACTGAGTATGCAGATTCACTTCTAGTCTGGAGACAATTGCTGAACTAGCCTGGTAGAACTCCAACAGCCTAGTTATAAGTCTTTATATAATATTAATTTATGTTTGGGATTATCAGCAGTAACTTTAACCATGCATTTGTCCATCATTGAGTAGTTATGTTGCTATTGTACAGTATTCAGAATAAAATTACACTCCACCCTATATAGTTTGATACAAATTTTCAGATATTACTAAGCATGCAGTGGTTTTGAAGGTAAAACCTATCATTCTTAAGATTTATATTATATTATTATTGCATCCTCTCTCTTTCTAAACTAATAAATTATTCTTGCTTTGCTTTTGCAGCTTCTGTCATTGACTCAGGATGAACACAAGCCATCTGATGTTAGTACATAGTTTCAAAATTGCAGTCAATTTGCACAATAAATTTGGTTCTGTTTAGAGTTAGACAATTTCTGATAGATTTCTTTATGTAGGGATAGAAGGATTTGGTTGAACAGAAACTGATCCAAATTAACAGTGTTCAGTCAGTTTAGAGGTCTGGTTTCCTGCCATTGTCTTCCCAATCTAGAATGCCTTTCTAACCAAGCCAACCCACCACAGTTTTAGTGTCTCCTTTTGGTAGCAGTTTCTGCCTGCATAGGACTAACAAAATTACATCTGTCCAGCCAACAGTCACCTTGCCTTTCAATAAAATTTCTAATACCAAAGAATGTACAGGTAGTCCTCGTTTAGCAACTGCCTCGTTTAGTGACTCTTCACAGATATGACAGTGATGAAAAAGTAACTTTATTACCAATCCTCACATTTACAACCTTTGCAGGTTTGCAGAGCAAAGGAAAGCTGAAGTAAGATCATAAGTACAGTCACAGCTTCAGTTAGTGACCACTTGGCTTAACAACCGAGTTGCCAGTCCCAATTGTGGTTGCTAAGTGAGGACTACCTGTATAGTCTTTGCATAGACCATGTAGACTTTTCCCTTGTCTCTAAGCATGCATAGTGAATGGACTGAGGGCTAGTGGGATCTGCTCTTGTCTGAGTATTGAAATGCAGATTTGCCATGATCATTCATACTGTATGTCAACTCAATGGCAGTGTTCTGTATGCTCAGGAATACTGTAACACAGATCACAGTCACTTGGAGTCTTTCCTAACAACATGTATTTCCTAATGTGCATTGCACTGAGACAGAGTCTTTTGCCACATGTTATTCAAGTATTTATAATTAAGAGATCTAGAGTCTTCTGGAAAAACAGCACTCACCTCCACAATCTACATAAAAGAATCTAATTATCCTATTCTGCAAATAAAATATTTATCGAAGTATGGTTCTAATATAAAAATAGTTCTTCATAATCCACATTTTAAAATTTTTATTATTTCATTTATTTTTTTATTTATTAAGATAATGTAATAATTGCAGTCTTATGAAAATGTAAATGCAGCCCTGTTGGAGAAGATTTAAAAAATATGTATTCCAGCATCCTGTTTCCTTAAAGTAGTCAGATGTGTATGGAAGACTAACAGGCAGGACATTATGGTAATAATGATATGTATTTGGAACTATTGTGATACTGGGGGTGATATAGAGGGCATAAAGAATGGCCTTGAAGGACAATGGGAAGACCCATCACCAAGGCAATGATCAGACCCTAAGTCTATTCCAAGAAACTTACTTGAGAAAATGCTTCAGACAGGCCCCTCCTTAATTCACACAAGGATAAAGCTGTTTTGGACCTATATGACATTGGTTCCTTAGTCTGGTCTACTCTCTAAAGCTGATAGGTATATTATAACTATTATTATGTACCATAACACAGAAGAAAATGTATACCAATTGCTGTTGACATTCTGGACAAATAACTCTTTTTTTTTTTAAGTTCATGAGCAGAATTACTTGAAAATAGAGTTCATTAAATTCAGTTGAATGTACTTCCATATAAGTGTTCTTTAAAAAGCCATTGATTTGGATGTTAAATGTTTGTATATGTACTGTATGCAAACATTGTTTGATCATCTGAATGTCTGAATGTGTCACATTTTATATTTAATGTGTATGGCTGGGAAAGAAAGTTGAAGCAGCATTAATATTTACATTAAGAAAAGTAATAGAAGTGATTGCTTTAACATGCTGCCTGTTTTCAAAGGATTCCTCTGATCCTCATTCAACAGATCCTGCTTGTGACAGTGAATGGTACACCTGTTGATTATCAAAGCATACACCCTTTGCGCCCTATAGAGAATGGACCTGCCAAGACAGATCTGTACTCAAGACCACAATACAAATGGGATCCCTCAGTTAATGACCTAGGTAGTCATAATAGCTTGAGAATGAACAGTTGTGTGGTTTAATTTTTTAGGTATATATTCATCCACTTTTTCCATTTTACCAAGGGAGGACAACGTATCATCCTATAAATCACCTATATCATCCATTTTAGGAGCTTTCATCCCAATCCATAGCTTCCTATGGTGTCTGCAATTAATCTGGGGGCTGTTGGGAAGTGTATCTTGCTGGAGAAGTTACAATAATGATAGTGTGCACTCTCCATGGGCTGCCTGTAAGCTGATTGGCAGAATACTGAGAGCGTAGCAAAAAAAAAAAAGCAGTGAACATTTGTCTAATTACAATGGGAACCCAGTGATCTAGGTTTCCTAGAAGGGAGAAGTCATGTGACTTTCCTGGTGTCCAACAGCCTTGCTTATGTTACACAGATCTGATTATGTATCCACAGCCCCCAGGTCATCATTATGCAAGAAATGCTTGTCCATTCCTGCCATATACTGTCTTTTTTATTATAACTTTCAATGATCAGATTACCTAAATTAGTATCTGAATCTCTATCACACACAAATTATTTGCAATTCATACAATTCTTTTTATTTCTCAGAAAAGAAAGAAGAGGAGGAAGAGGAAGGGGAGGAGGAGGAAGAAGAAGATGAAGAAGAAAATACAGAGCAAGAAAAAAAATCCAAAGTTCATGCAATGGTCACAGTTTTCCATTTTATCATGAAACAGAGTTATGTCTGTGCTTTGATTGCCATGATGGTAGGTTATGTGATCTATTGGCTATTGGTCCAACTTGAAATGGAGACAATGTTGTGGTCCAGGACGCATTTTATCAGTGATGTTGTTTAAATCTGTTTTTTCTCACCTGTTATCGCTGCAAGTTTGCTTGAATTAATGAAAAAGTGTCTTCACCTTACACTGTGATCTTGAAACTTGAAATCTTTATAGCACAAGATCATGGACTTGAGCTTGGGATAATATATTGTATTTTATGTGGTTTACAAATGTTATCTACTCAGCTTCTGCTTAGTGCTAGACTAGTAAAGAATGCATTAAAATGCATTAGTAAACTCACAGATACAATGTTTATGCTGTTATTTTTATTGTTTTAACAATGACTTTGGGTATTATTCTTATCTCTTACATATCTTTAGGTAGCAGGACCTCACAAACTTTGTGTGGGTGACAAAGCTAATGGGTACTGGTCTGCTCCGTGTGCTACTATGAGACAGAATTTTGTAGAATTTTCATCTGTTATGGTGGAGCAAGCATGCTAATGTAATGCTTGGCTTCCACTGCTAAGCTTTCCATGTGGCTTTCATTTGACTTCTCCTGCAAGTGAGAAGCTACATTTAGTTCACTTAATGTTAAACGATCAGCAGGCTAGTTATGCCTGGATTGGATGGCAAACTGGCTTAAAACCTGTACTTAAAATGTGTACTTGAATGGATTCTTATGAAGTTGGAAGTTGGTAGCAGCAGGAGCCAAAAGATTTGGTCCTGGATCCTATGTTCTTTAGTGTTTTTATCAATGATTGGATGAAGAGGTGGAAGGAATGCTTATCAAATTTGCATCTTCTAATACCCTATAAGATAGACATAAATTTTTAAATGGGCGGAAAGTAACCAAATTAAATTTAAACAAACATCAAATGCACAAGTAGTGCATAAGGGATATTTGGCTTGGAAATAATACTTGTGAAAAAGAATTTGGAATGGTAGTTGATTGCAAACTGAACACCAGCCAACACTGTGATATGACTGCAAACAATTTAGGGAAATCAGGGAATGAGAGAAATCATGCAGGGATCTGTTTTTTCTTCTGTGTAATAAAGTAACATGTTTTGTCTATGTGCATATTGCATGTGCGCATGCACACACACACACTTCTATTTCCATCTTGCATTGGATCTGTATGTGTTTGTGTGTATGTCTACCAAGAAGCACAGGGTGAGTGGTATATGCTCCACTGTGGATCCATGACCAGGACTAAGAAGGGAGAGAAGATCAGAACAGAACAGTCATTAGCATTTGTATTGGGGCTTTTTTTCTGAAATATTTTTCTCTGAAGCCCTCAGCCATACGCAACCCATTTTTGAACTTGATCTTTCTTGTGCTGGCTTCTTGCATCAAGCCAAATATGATCCTGTTCTGTTCAGTTTTTGGAGCATTATCCTGCTGATACAGGGGACAGACACACAGAGTCTTGATCTCATTTACATAGTTTCTTTCCACTGGGTAGCAAAGAATAAGGCAAATGCAACAGGAACATCATTTCCAAATCATCCACTTTATTCTGCTTTGGTCACAATAAAGGTATAAAGTCAAAAGAAGAATTCAGAAAACTGGAACAAGTTCAGAATATCGGCAGTTTAGGATAATCAACCAAATCAATGAATCAGTAAACTAAGTTAAGTCCTTAGAGATTAAAAGAACTGAGTTTGTCTAGCATTGACTGGGGATCCCACCACACTCTCTCAATACCTGAACTGATGTCACCTAGATAAAGGTCAAAAACTGTTCTCTCTCATTTCAGACTGAAGGACAAGTTTCAGGAAGGGCATTTCCTGAAACATGTTGAATGTAGACCATTCGTAGCAGTCAAAGCAGTGGAATCAATGGCCGACAGATGTGATGGGCTTCCATTCACTGGAAGTAATTCAAGTACAGAGTAGAGGGCCATCTGTTTGGAAATCTTTAGTTTGTATTACTACTCTGAGCAGGGGGAGGAGCCAAGATGGCAACAAACTAGCAGCTCCTGAAATAAGCTCCCAGCTTGTGGCTGCTCTGAGCAAAGCTCTAGACTTATGGCA